CCGGTGCAGCAAATTAGGCAATTGGATGGTAAGTACACATCTTTATTATTATAACAAATCATTAAATCAACCAACATTTTTGTAGTATAATAAATATTGTAAGTATTTTGGTAGCTATAAAGCAACTCACCTTTTACATTTAATTATATGCCCTTCAATAGCATATAAACAATTCAATTTCATTAACTTTTATAAGTTGATAACTCTTTTAAAAAACTTACAAAATATGTAATAGAATTATCAAATATTGTGATTGTCTTTTAGTTAAAAATTAATAATTAGTATCAAATAATAATAAATTAAATGCTATTTTATCTAATATTTAATCCATTAATTGAATAAAGATTTAATGTATAAGATCATTGGATTGCAGATAAAAACTTGATTAAATACAATAACGATATTATTTAAGTAAAATGAATACAAGGTTTTAAAGTTATATTACTGTAAATATGTTAGTAGTTTCAGAAAGTGATCTCAACGGAGATATTTGACAGCAAATAATATTCAAAAGCATATAATAATAATTTGATTTAAAGTGAGATTAGATTTCGATTAGAAGAGAAACTCAAATTCAATTTAATGTTAAAACCATTGATTGAATTCAGGGATAGAATGAATTAATTAGACTAAACTCAAATAATTTAAGGTTATCTAAATTGATCAGGATACTATTTCCCCAAAATTAATTAATAATTTTATAAGTTTAAAAGTCAAACATATAATAATATTTTTATAATTTAATAATTAATAATTATTATTACATAAATTAATTAATGAACATACAAATAAATAACTAAATTGTTAACTGAATTGAATAAATGTTATAACAATGACTATTTTAATTATTATTGAATAAATGATCAGGATGAGTTTCCTCGATGCGAATTATACAAATTATGCGAAATGAACAAGACCAATTCACCACACGATGTGTTACAACGAAAGTATTTCAATACAATGGTTATCAATGGCGAAGAAGTGGCAGTTTTGGCGACAATTGCTGAGTTTAAATGTCGTAATGAGAACCTCGAGACCGGAAAGCATGTGATAATAGGTCCGCGAACTATAGTCTGCACCAAATCGGGGCACTGGAGCACCGATGAGCCCATTTGTGCCGGTATGACATTATATAGCTATCAAAGTTTAACATATTTAAAAATGACCTTAATTATTTATCGAAATTGTAATTTAATTAGTTATCAAAATATGAGCATTATATACAAACGCTTAACTAGTTATAAAACATACAATAATCATGGTCATTTACTACATTTCTATATAAGATATGTTTATTCTGTATATATTCTGTGATGACAGATGACGCCTATTTCGGACGTTTTGTTACCTCAAACCAAACCGAGAGCTCAGTTGGAAAAGTTGTAGCAATGGTTATATTTGCGGTTATTCTGGTGGCTATCGTTGGGGTATTGGTATTTGCATACCATCGCAAATATGGGTTCTCCAACCCGTGTCTCACTTGTATGACAGGTCGTGAGACAGCCCGCCGTTCTTCAACATTCATAAGCTATGGTCAGTCAAATCTGAGGGATTCTGTCATTAGTTATAATGAGGGCTCCGTATCGTCTAGTAATTCATTTAATAATAATGAAAGGATAAACGCAAATCTTATTAAAATTTAAATTACATTTTTGTTTATGTATTTCAATAAATATCCTGTTAATTTATCATTATAGCTGAAATAATTCATTCATTTTAAGCTACTTTACTCTGTTTCACGGTCGACGAATAAAATTAATTGCCTAGATCATATCGTATCTGGCACTGTTCATAATGGGACGTACTTAATGTTTCACCTCGATCATTTTAAGCATATTAAACATTATAACTAGTACCCTTTTTGCCCTCGATTTGCCCTACGCTACGATGAGGCCTAGATAATTGTTTACTTTGTTTAAGCACAGTCAACATTTTACTGATCAGTGATTATTGAATATTATTTATTAATTATTGGATATTACCTCAAATTTTCAAAGTATTTTTATTAGAGGTTTACTATTAATTCTTATTGTTTTTAAATAATTTATCGTTTTATTGAAGTTTTTATTTTTGTGTAAACATATAATTATTTTGTAGTTTATTTTATATCATTTGTAGATTTATTGTAAGATTTTATGGTTTATTGTTTGGTGAGAGAAAGAAAAAAGAAAGAGAGAGAGAGAGAGCTGACAAAACAAAAAATG